GTAGATCAAATTCTTAATGAACTTAAAAATTTATTGCTCGATCCAATGTATAACGGTGATAACTTTGTTAATGACATAATGTCAAATACGAACGGTGAATGTTTGATTATTTAGTTAATACTGGAATGTTGCTTTATACTAATACACTGTATATATTTATTTAGATTCGAATAGGAACAATTATTCCGCAGACAATTTTGGAGAATCTTTGGATGTAAGTAAAAGTTAGGTTGAACAACTCCGAGTAAATTTTATTCATAACATTTTATTCATTTAAACAGGACAGCATAAGCAATGACTTGTCAAATTTTCATAGAAAGTAAGTATAAAGTTTATAATAAAAAGGTGCATGAGGGTTGATAAATTTGCAAAAAAAAAAAAATAAGTTGTTGGATTTATTCTTCGTAAATAATAGTTTTAATTTAATTATTAAATTAAAAGTCAATTGCTTTTTATTAACCTTATCTATTCCAAATAACTCCGCTAACAAAATATAATTTAACAATGATTACAGCAAGTGAGTAAAATTTTATGCTTACTATATTAGTAATATTAAATTTCCGAACAACTAATAAATAAATAATTTAATAACGATAGTAGGTAAGTCTAAAGATGATTAGTTCATCCTCATTAATACACTATTTCTGAATGATTTTCCTAATTAATTATAATAGCATGTAAGTCTAAGTTTATAAGTTCGCACTTATTGATATTCCATTCTTAAATAACTAAATAATTATATTTGATGACACAATAGGCCGTAAGTTCAAGTTTAAGTTCGTACTCATTTATATTGCATTCCCAAATAACTAAATAATTCTATTTAATACACAATAGGCGGTAAGTTCAAGTTTATGTTCGTGCTCATTAATATTTTATTTCTAAATAACTAAATAACTAATAATTTTAATAATATTAAACATTCATACTCACTAATATCCCATTTCTAAATAATCAAACAAATATTGATTTTAATAATATATTAGCGAATATGCAACATTGAGTGTCAAGGAGGAGCTTGACGCCTTGAGTATGATAAGGGAAATTAATAGGAAATCAAAAGAACGAAGAATCCAATTTCATGAAATTCACGATCTCGAGGATGACGAGAAATCCAAAATCATTGAAAAATTACGGGAATTAGAACCCATGTATAAAAATGTTGACA